ACATACACATACACATACACATACACATACACATACACATACACATACACACACATACACCTACACATACACATACACATACACATACACATACACATACACATACACATACACACATACACATACACATACACATACACATACACATACACATACACATACACATACACATACACATACGCATACACATACACATACACATACACATGCACATACACATACACATACACATACACATACGCATACACATACACATACACACACACATGCACATACACACACATACACATACACATACACATACACATACACATACACATACACATACACATACACATACACATACACATACACATACGCATACACATACACATGATTCGTATGATCATACACTTATGAACACTAAAATTATTACTGGTGTGTTTCCTCACGTATCGGACCCACTCCCCTTCCAGGTCGCCTTTAAAGGTAATAACATGATTTTATCAACAGTAAACAAAGCGTAAAAAGTTGAAATCAGTGAAGCAAGTAAACAAAGCAATGCCTGTTCACTTCCAGGTCCAACGAAATTCTCGATTGCTATTACATACTACGCTTCTTTCCCAGGTTTCTGTCATACACAAACTTCATCCGTCGACGGCATCACTACCTTATGTTTACATGGAAAGCAGCTACAGCTTACAGATGGCAAAAACCGCCGTACATAGAACAACCCTTTCTGTTATGACATCCCAAGCTGTTTTTGGACTCACAAGCCCGGCAGCCTCGGGCGTACGTCACGTCCACAACTTTGATGTAGTATTCAGCCTGGGAGATGAAGATGGTATTACAGTCTTGTGCACGGCGACACGGTATCCGCTATACACATACCGTCATCTGAACAGTCTGTTTCGCCAGTATACTCTTTTTTGACGTGAAGAACCGGTGCTTCGAGACGATTTTAGTGAAGTGGTCCGAATGAGTTCTTCTTTCTCAGATTTCTTGCCTAATAACTGTCTGGTCGATCTCTAAAGAGACCAGAAGAACATCTTGGAAGCTTTATGGTGTTTGTTGGCCCTTGATGCCACTTTGGAGACACGACAAAGGATCACATTGCATAAGGTTAATATTTTATGCACAACTTATTACTTCTTCTGAGATTTCAATGAATTGGAAGATTAGTCCAGAATTGGAGGAAATGAACTACATAAGGGTAGATGAGATGAAGAATATAGACTCACGATCCAAAAGGGAAAGGGGAGGGGGTGAAAGGGCGAGAGAGAGGACGTTCTCCAAATGAGTCGGGCTTCTTACATGAACTCTTTAATCTTTAATGCCTCACTATTATGTGAGATGAAAACTAATCCGAGCAAGCAAAGTTGGTCTGACAAAAAGGTGATAAAACCTAGAACAAATTGTATATGGGTAAAAAAATGTGGAGGATAACATGGACTCTGACCTTGGGTCTTCAATGAAAATGACGAAAATCATTAACTTTTTGCATGTTATGATAAGGAGTAAAGCCGTAAAAGTTGACATCCCAAAACGATTTAGCAGACCACCTATCGGATCGATTGGTTTATTGTCGTGCACGAATTAGGGCGCAAATGCCAAACACGTAGTAGCTATGCAACGGTGGAGCTGGTGGGATACTTTACAAAAAACCAGAAGTCTCATATGTACAAATAATGACTATTGAGAAAATGAGCGAAAGACAAGCTTGAACTTCTATCATTCAAACATTGCTCTCAACTGGTACAGAATCATGTTATCTTCCGGAGGATTTTCCTTCGCGACTAATTCCACTCGATCACGCAGAATCACCAGTAAATCTGCTACGTTTTGGCTAGTTCGATGGACCGCTGGAAATGACATGATATTCGAACCTACGTCTCGAAAAGTTAAGCTTAAGGGCCGACTCGGAAGACGGCTGTGATATTGCATTTCGAATATAGACAATAACTGGATCTTCAGTTTTAAGTTATTCACAAATTCTGATAATTAGCATTTGGTATTGCACTTTCATTGGAATCCCTACTAGCAATAAAGATATTTCAAAACATCTGTCGGAGGAAGCATTTGCGTTTATCAAGGAACAGAGAGCCTGGCAGTAATGTCAGGCTCTCTGTTCCTTGATAAACGCAAATGCCAGCCAATGGTCTGGCATTTCTTGTCTCATTGTTAGTAAATATCAATTGAGGGCTTGCGATCACAACAGTTCACCTATTACACCTATTATATTTCCAATTTTGCGAAACACTCCTCAGAAGGTAATACATAATAGTCGCCAATAAGCCAATTGATGTCATTATAACAGCGAAAGGTTTACATGAACGCAGGTTTCCTACAGTGAAGATTGTGACGTCGCAACACCTTTCAACAATTTATTTATCCCCTTTCATGAGAACTCCTTGGGCGGGGGTGGTGTAGTGGCAAGTGGCGCACTATATCACACGCACGATCATGGGTTCGAATCCCGGATCGATGCCCGCCCAGGCCAACCAGGTTTTCCATCCCTCCGGGGTTGGTACGAGACTCGTCTGGGAGGATAAAAGCACTGACTTGTACATCGGTTGGCCACTCGTCTGGGAGGATAAAAGCACTGACTTGTACATCGGTTGGCCACCACAAATCATTGACGCCATTATGAATGGAAGTCGAGAGCGGGGAGCGCATCCCTCAGACGGGATTGGTTAACGCCAGAAACTTTAGCCTTTATGAGTATTCATTCATTTATTGGAGAACTTAAAAGCATCAAATATCTACACATCATCTCTGATTTATTGGTGCGGATTCGACAGTTCACAGATAGAAAGTATTGGGTGGTTCTGGGAGTTTTTGCCGATTTTGACGGCACCGTGACAGACGACTTTTCTATGCAAAGTTTCTTTATTCCCATCTCAAGCGTGTCGATATTTCTCAAGTTCTGTTTGTGTAGAGCCGGTGTGGAAAAAGAGGACCATGAAGGAGATTTCCGACACGTAAGCTTTTCTTCTAGCACAAATGCAAAATTGCAGCTCAGTCCGCGTAAATGTCTACGGAGACAATGCTCTATCAGAGCGTAAGTGGCTGCTTCCATAGTCCGCCGGCCGTCCCGCGAACCGGCGCGCCGGCTGACGTAAAACGAATTAGTTCCTATGTGAAAAATACCTACGTCTGTTGCATTTTATTTCACGGTCAGAACCCGACCGCAAAGAACCCGACCGTGAAATTGAATGCAACAGACGTAGATTTCTTCATACGAATTAATTCGTTTTACGTCAGCCGGCTCGCCGGCTCGCCAACTCGCTCGCGCGCTGGCCGGCGGATTATGAAAGCAGCCAGTGCGTTGAAGGTTCCCAAATTTAGTCAGGCGGAATCACCCTCGAGGATCGGCAGTGACCATGGAGACTATCATTCTACAAGTATATATATGGCGCTAATGTCTTGTGTTTGTGTGTCCGACCCGGAATTCATAATTTCTGTCCCCGTGACCCGAAATGTTGGTAGGAGTACACGCGGCAGGAGGGAACACTCATGGTGGTGGCAGGACCATACTCCACCCGCAGTGGGGGGGGGGGGGGGTTCTGCGCGAATATTGTCAGACGTTGGTCCTAAAACGTTAAAATTTAGCAGTAATGCAGGCAAGAGGATGGCGCCACACATCCTGGGAAGCAGGATCGGACTCCACCCAAAGAGGCGGGTTTTGCGCGAAATAAATGCTGGAGTGGGAAATCATACTCGTGTCCCCGTAGACCTAAAGCGTTCGAATTTGGAAGGAGTACGGTTGCGAGATGGGACCACTTTTCTTGGGTAGTAGCAGCGGACTCCACCCAAAGGGAGTGGAGGATGCGCGAAATAAGTGTTTGATCGCAAATCCTTATCACCTAAGTCCCTGAATTTGGAAAGTTCAAAATTGCTAGGAGTAGAGGAGGTAGGATGGGAAAACTGACGATAGAAGAGGCCTCAGGTTCCATTTGACAAGAAATGCAGTGATAGGGACCAAATAAGGGTCTGAATTATAAGGTAACCGAAGTTGGTCCACCATTTGCTTTCAGATTACAATCGCTACCCAGCAAAGTTTGTGACTCATTAAGGGAACATGGCTTTCCTTTGTTTCTGTATCATTCTCGGCAAAACTTATTCGACCGCTAATAATCTTGGATTCTCATCTAATAATATATCCGTAGATAATGGAAGCTTCATTGACAAAGACGTTTGGTAATGGTGTCACTGTGACTCAACAACATTTGCGAGTACCATTCAAGCCTTTGGTTGCTCACCAGCCAAACCTTCAACGGGTCACTATTTTCAAAATTAACAGCGACTGATCGAGACTTCTAAGGCACAGGCATCGGCGCATTTTGTTCACCATCTGCATACCCTGTTAGTCTTCTGTCTAATTTCGCCTTCGAAATAGTATCATTTTTNTTTTTACGAAAAGCGGGCCAGTTAGCCCACTCTTAAAATTCTATCATAGGAAGGAAGGAAGCCCGGCGTTGAGCCGGGCGACCCGACTGGTAAGTTCTAACAACAAAATCAGAATCTCAATCATTGGGTTGCTTGGAAAGTACGATCTTGAAAGCGATTTCCTCAAATCTTGGTACAGATGGTTTTCGGAGGTTTAAATGCTATTTATTTGATATATGTAAATATATTACAGGTAAGGAGAGAGGTGGTGTAGTGGCAAGGGGCGCACTTCATACACGCATGGCTACGGATTCGAATTCCGGATGGATATCCGCCTAGGCCAACGAAGCCTCCCATCCCTCTGGGATCGGTAAGTTTTTACCAGACTCGTCTGGGATGATAAATACATCAACTTGTAGATCAGCTGGCCATCACGATTTATTGTATAGGCCATATACGCATTCAATACGTCGCTACGATTCTGAATAGAAGTCGAATGCGGCTCAGGCGCCTCCTTCTGACAGGAAATTAACGCCCCAAGACAGGGCTTTATATTTATTACAGATACACATTTGTTTCTTTTTAAGAAGAAAGTGAGCGAATTTCTTTTCCACTTGTAAGTTCAGGTAGACGGAATGTCAGGTGATACATTTTCATCACATTTTACTTTTTTACTCTTATCGTGACAAAAGAGCTGCTGTTGTTACCTGAGATACATTTAACACGTTGACGACGAGCCAATTTTTTCGTGTCTGTCCCGTGGGACAAAACAGTTTCTTTCTTGTAAATTTGTTATTTCTCGAAAAAAATGAGTGATTGCATTCAAGAACATTTGAAATCCGCAGTCATTCCAGCAGTATTCAATATCTGCCCAAGATTTGATTACTCGGGGTAATTTCAAATTTGGCGGCGATAATTTTGAATTAGGGGTATATAAATAGGGTCTCTGAGAGTATTATTATCCTTGCGACTATTTTTGTCATCATGAGTGTCCCGGATATTGAAATGGACGGCTCAATGAAATTTTTGGCCACTGGCTGCTCGACTGCGACGATGATGCTGCAGGTGGTTTAGACGGCGACGATATGGCTCCTGCGGTTGATCCTGTCTTGTATTTGTATTATTCATCTTGGAATTAATTTAATAGATGGCCGATGCTATTTTGGACACTTATAAGCCCAAATTGAAAAGCTGTACAAAAAACAGAACGAGCACACACACTTCAAATGAATAATGCACCGTCGCGCAGCATTGCGCGACATCGTCCCATGAGACAGACTGGCTGTCGCGCACCATTGCGCGACAGTCGTCAACGTGTTAAAAAATAAGGTGACAATGCCTCATCACAAAGATGTGGAAACTGGCAGCATACTTTCGTTTTTAATTTTTTAGAAACGCAAGCCAAATGAGAGATACTTACTTGACGCACTATTTCCTACGGTACGAATTCCGTGTGCAGAGAGATCGCAAAGAAGAGCCAACTGAGCGCAACTACCCAATCGCAGCAAACATGAGTCACCATCTAAGTCATCCGAGCATAGGAGATCACTGCAGGATAGACCACCAACCCTTTCCATGAATTTCCTGAAGTTGACATCATTAGAACATTTAAGTGGTAATCAAAAATAAGTGAACGGTAGGTAGTATTTTTGGATTTTTAAATCATCACTTACGTAATCAGCAGCTTATGTTTGAATATCACCTTATGAAGGATAATAGATATTGGCATAGTGATTTCGTAGTCATGTAAGCGTGGATCAGGTACGTCCCGCACCTAGGTTTCATGATGTATGGTCACAGCTATTTTCATAGTCTAATATAAATTGCATTAACAAAACCACTGCAACCACATGAACTTAAACTTACGTCTTCATTTGATTGAGTTAGATAATTGAGAAGAAGGACAGCGCAAATATTTATAGATTTATCAAGCATTGTTTCAGTGTACTCACTGCGCTCCAGGAGTGCCTTCCATAATGACAAATAAGCATCTGCGGTTGCTGAAGCAACAAGAGGTTAGACTTGAGAGGAGTAAATGCAATACTGTTCCCGTTGAAAGCCCATGCTTCTCCCTCGCTCCTCTCTCACTACATCATTTGGATGGTTGATGGTAAGAACATTCCCTCGTAATATATTTTTTAAATGACACTGATATCGACTTTAGGGAGTGATCTAATCCTTCAACATTGGGCTAAACAAAAATGCATCTACTTTCATACATATATTGCCACTCAGGGACAGTCAACTCTCATACATATAATGCCACCCAGGGACAGTCACAAACCTTTTTCATCCATCTGATCATCTTCCTTGGTACACCTGATTATCCACTTTGGAACGAAATCCAACACAGGCAGTAATGGTAAGCAATTGATGAACTAAAAATAACACTTTTTTCACTAAACACAATGACAATCTTAATACTTTACTTAAGTGTGCATTTGAAATCTAACTTTAATCAAAGCAGACCTCAATATCAAGTAGCCTTCGTGCAGCTGTAAGGACTGCAGGAAGTAGTATCCCTGGTGCACTGCTGCTACAGAACGAAACAACTAATCTAAATTAATGACATTATCGAGAAAATGCCGAGAATCATATTTTGATTGCCGATAGGCCAAGCCCACTGCCCCAATAAGGAATCACCTGCTAGCGATTTCTGGATAGTCCCGCACTCTTCGACTTGCTACGTCCTCTAGGCATGAATCTGGTGATGGGCTTCGTGCTGCATCGGAAAAGTCCCACGCCGCCATGGTGAAACCAATATTTCGAAGAATAGTCTGATAAGACGCATAAGAGTGCTGTTAGGTATCCACAGATTACTGAGATAACTGCATACTGATATGACTT